GCAATCTTAACTGGGATACCTCAGCCATCACACCAGGATACCTCAGCGATCTCACATGGATACCTCAGCAAGTACACCAGGACACTTCAGTGATCCCACTCAGAACGTGTCAGCGATCACACCCAGAACATCTCAGCAACCTCACCAGGATACCTCAGCAATCTCACATGGATACCTCAGCAAGTACACCAGGATGCCTCAGCAACTTCATGTGTAATACCTCAGCAATCTTACCTGGAATACCTCAGAGATCTCACCAGGATTCCTCACTGATCTCACACGGATACCTCAGCGATCTTACCTGGGGATAACTCAGCAATGTCACCTGGGGATACCACAGCAATCTCACCTGGGGATAACTGAGCAATCTCACCTGGGGATACCACAGCAATCTCACCTGGGGATACCTCAGCCATCTCACCTGGGGATAACTGAGCAATCTCACCGGGGATACCTCAACGATCTCACCCGGGATACCTCAGCAATCTCACCTGGGGATACCTCAGCAATCTCACCTGGGGATACCTCAGCAATCTCACCCGGGATACCTCAGCGATCTCACCCGGATACCTCAACAGTCACACTCAGAACATCTCAGCAACCTTACCAGGACACCTCAGTGATCTCACCCAGAACATGTCAGTGATCACACCTGGAATATGTCAGCAATCTCACCTGGATTCCTCAGTGATCACACAAGGGTTGGGGGGGACCAGGTGAGTAAACTGAGGCTGAGGCTGTCAACCCGCAGGAGAGACATAGGGGGACACGCCCATCCCTGTCCACTCACCCCTCGGGGGCACAGCATGTCCCCAAAGATGTTCTTGATGCAGGTGACCAGGTACTCGTGCAGGTCCTGCGTCATCCCCTCGAAGTTCCTGCAGGCCAGGATGACCACCTCCCGGGGGTGCTTCTCCAGCCACTCCGAGATTTCCGTGAGCGTGTCCTGGGAGGGGAACGGGCGCTGAGTCACGTGGACACTGCCGCGGGGGCTCGAGGAAGCTCCTCCTGGCAAAGGGGCTTCCAAGGGCAAAACTCTCTCCACGGAGGTGTCGGGCCGTGCACGGACAGAATGCAGCGGCCGCCCCGTGGAAAAACAGTCCCGCAGAACCACAGCTGGGCAGGCAGCCCTCACGGCTCCTCATCGTATCTGTGTGCCTGTGATGTGTCTATTTTCGTGTGCATGTACACGTGCATGTTGGTGTACACGTGTGAATGTGCATGTGTGTAGGCATGTCTGTGTGCATGTGTGCAGGTGCATGCACATGTGCTTGTGACGTGTGTGTGTGCATGCACATGTGTAAGCACACGTGCATATGTGGATACATGTGTATGTGTATATGTGCATCTGCGCATGTGTATATTTTCATGTTATACTGACATGCATGCATGCATGTACATGTGACGTGTCTGTGTGTATGTGTGCATTTCGGTGGACATGTATGTGTATGTGTGTGCATCGAGTCCCAGCATGTTTGCATGTGCATGTCTGTGCACATGCACACGCAGACAGAAGGCACCGGCTATGCAAAGGTGTGAAGTCGGGAAGCTCAGGGAGCCGGCGGGGACCAGCAGGTGCACAGGGACCAGCAGGTGCACAGGGAGCCCCAGCGAGGACACCTGCAGGCCAGGGTCCCGGGGGGCTTTGGGGTGGGGCGCAGGGGCTGCTGAGGCTTTAAGGACAGCGGGGACTTGTCACGTGAAAGTTTAGAACCCCCGAGGCAGCCAGGAAGAGAAGGAATCGAAAACAGCGTAAACTGGGCCAGGGAGGTAACGGACTCGTTCTGCACAAGCCTGGAGGCCTCAGGGAAGCCTGGGGACGGGGGCTGAGGAGACCCGTGCAAGGTCGGGAGGCCGGGGTGCGAGCTCTGAACCCCACGTGGGCCAAGACCCCACACGACTGATGGCCGGGGGTGGAGCTGCCTCCTGGACCCTGCCCTTTCCCCTGCGTCCACTCCAGCCCCGCCGTCTGGCTCCAGCCCTGCTGTCCACTCCAGCCCCAGCCCCAACATCCACCCCAGCCCCACCATCTGCCCCAGCCCAGCCCTGCCATCTGGCCCCAACCCCAGTCCTGTCATGTGGCCCCAGCCCAGCCCCGCCATCCAGCCAGCCCCGGCCCCGCCATCCAGCCCCGGCCCCTCCATCCAGCCCCGGCCCCTCCATCCAGCCCCGGCCCCTCCATCCAGCCCCGGCCCCTCCATCCAGCCCAGGCCCCAGCCCCGGCCCGCGGCACCTCCACCAGCGCAGTGGTGTACACGGTGTGCACGAAGTGCAGGTTCCTCTCGGCACCCCCCAGCACGTGCGCGATGCGCAGGTCCATGTACCGCACCCCGGCGTCCAGCTGCTCGGTGACATCCAGCGTCTGCGGACAAAGGCGGCCGGTGGCCGGGTCTGGGACCGGGAGCAGGCGGCGGCCACCTGCCCACTGCAGCCCGCGACGCCACACGCCACACGGATGTCGTCACGACAGCCCACGGGAGCTGCTCGGCCACGGGGCCGTGCGTCGGGAAAGCCCGCTCTCGGGGCCTGGCCTCGTGGGCGCGGACCCGCAGGCCCCGTCGGGGCTGGGGTGGGGGCAGCAGCTCGTTCACCCCCCGGAGGAGACGCCCCTCGGCCGACAGGTGCAGGACGTCCGAGCACAGCCCGGCACCCTCCCGGAGGGGACGCCCCTCGGCCGACAGGTGCAGGACGTCCGAGCACAGCTGGCACCCTCCCGCCCGTGGGTGCCAGGAGGGGCCGCAGTCGGGGGACCCCGGCCCCAGCAGCCCGGGACTGCGCCCGGACACGCCGCCCGGACCCGCGGGGCAGGACTGCAGCAGAGGCCAGCAGAGAGACAGAGAGGACAGGGACGGAACGGGACGCCAGGCAGAACTGCGCCAGCAAACGCCACACGGAGCAGGCGGCCGTGCTGTGCTGTCTGCACACGGCAGCAGGAAAGCCGAAAGTGAACGTCAAAATAAAAAGGAAAGTGGGACTATCCTCTCCACTCAGGGTAAAAACAGAAAAAGGGGCCGGGCGCGGCGGCTCACGCCTGTCGTCCCAGCACTCTGGGAGGCCGGGGCGGGAGGATCGCTCTCAAGGTCAGGAGTTCAAGACCAGCCTGAGCAAGAGCGAGACCCCGTCTCTACTACAAATAGAAAGAAATGAATTGGCCAACTAAAAATATATAGAAAAAATCAGCCGGGCGTGGTGGCGCATCCGGGAGTTCGAAACCAGCCTGAGCAAGAGCGAGACCCGTCTCTACTATGAATAGAGAGAAATTAATTGGACAACTAATATA